CGTCGAGATAGCATAACAACGTGAGGAAGTTCTGATCCCCGAAGATGTTGATCATGAGCCGCATAAAGCTGGCTGGACTGTTACAAAGCCCCTGCGGCAGACGGTTGAATTCATACAGACCCATAGGAGTCGTGAAGGCAGTGAACTTCTTGTCTTCTTCAGACATCATGACGTTATAAAAACCAGAGGTTAAGTCCATCGCACTAAAGAAGACATTCCCTCCTAGGGCTGCTAAACAGTCTGCCTGATGAGGCAAGGGGTGGGCGTCCTTAACAGTTCGAGCATTTAGCCAGCGGTAGTCCACACACACTCTAAGGTCCCCATTCTTCTTCCATACCAACACAAGTGGAGAGGCCCACTCACTATTGGACTTGCGTATGATTTCCTGTTCCTCCATTTCAGAGAGAACACTCCTCAGCTTCTGGTACTGTGCCGGTGGAACACGGCGGTATGGAAGTCTGAATGGACGATCGTCTGACAAACGAATATGGTGGACAAACTCATTAGCTTTTCCGCAATCCAGTTTGTGTTTGGAAAATACGTCCTCATACCTCCCAATGAGCTGTATCAGCTGACCTTTCCAATAATGGGATACTTCACAAGACTCAATGTCTAAATCACCAAGACCAAGTTTCTGCAGACTTTTACTTGGCCCCAAGTCAGTACAACCTCCCTCATCAATTCCTCTGATGCTCTGGCTCTGCACACTCACCATCTCATTACTGTTGTGATTAGAATGCACACTGAGATCCTCAACTATAACCGCTATAACAGGGAAGACATCGGCAATTTTAGAGTTCCTTCTCAGTGTAATAGCCTTATCAAGGGGATTCATGATTCTGACTGGGACCCATCCATCTCCAGACATAGAGGCTATGACTCTTCCCACCATGATACCTTTCTTGTGGGTCTGTGATTTGGGTGGCTCAATCACAATAGTACTTCCCATGGAAATAGGTGTGTTCGGAGGAAGTTTTCCCCACACGAGGTGTTCTTGTCGGGGCAACAAAGTGACGGCTTGAGCCAATTTTGCTGTGCCCACAATATCAGGAATTACACGACCCTTCCACCTGTTAATACCTGACAGCATGTTCAGAAACTGCTCGACTTCAGGTTCACCAGATGACTCAGGGCGATTCATGACGTTCCAATAGCTAGGAGTTTGCTTGAGTTGAGTGAGGATAAATTGAATGACATTACTACCCAGAATCAACTGATCCCTCTGTCCCGGGACAACAAACGTGGGTACACTCACCAATGTGCCACACACATTCATCTGCAACTGATAGACCCCCTTCGGTCTGACTCGAACACCTCCACAGCCAACAAGAAGAACGTCCATGTGCGACTGGTCAACCTGTGCAGACATCCCCATACTCAACAGTTCATGCTCTGTGTCCTCATTGATTGTGCACGCCATAGATCCACTATCCATCAGCGCTTGAACTGGAACTTTGTCATTCAACATTACTGAAGTATAGAGCAGACTGTCTGCCTTCTCCAACTTTGTGACATTCTGAAATAAGACGATACCATCACCAGAGACAGACTTGCAACATTCATCATAAACAGAAAAATCGTCGTCCACATTAAGGGTTTGATGCTTTGCACTCACATAATCCCCTCCCATACGTGAGTGAATTAGTTTCCCTGAGCGTGCGGGTCAGAAGCAGATGGACTAGCAGAGCTGACAACGTTGATGCATTGCTTCTGCTGATGCCCAATCTCCATGCATGACAAACATCTCCTTTCTCTCATACAATGTGAACGGGTGGAGTGATTCCTATCACCGCAGACTCTGCATGGGGAAAAACTGCGCCACTGAGTTGTTCTCTGTCGTGGGGCAGGAGCAGTCTGACTAGTGCGCTCCAATACCCTTTCCAGCATACTCAAGACGCGTTCCAAAGTGCCAGACTCCGAAGTTGCAGGAACGGCAGTCTTCGAACAATTTACAGGGACATTAATAGGTGTGTCCGATTTCAAAGTCTCTTCCTCTGTGACAGCATGAGGGTAGGTTGATAATTTAGCTGCAGCGACTTGGACCACATTAACATTATGTGCGACTGTAGACAGCTTTTTAGACTGAACTTCCCTCTGGTGCTCGTCAATGACTTCTTGAATTTCTGCAACTGACCATTTACTGATAGGTTTACATCGAAACATGCTAGAAAGGTTCGGCTCCGAACAGTTTCTGATGAACATCATTGCGATTTCAGAACTCATGTCTTTCATCCTTTCGCCTTTTTTCTGCAAATTGCTACCTGCTAACTCAGCAGCTGCGTTCAATCTTACCCAGTAATCAACAGGGCACTCATTTACCATGGGTCGCGTTGCGTAAAAGTCAGCTAGCGGTAGACATGATCCAGGACTTTCACTGAAGTAACGCCTCAACACTTCATAGATGATTACAGGGGAGACGGCTTCGTCAGGGCTGCTTTTGAGTCTGACCTTGACAATGCTCTTAGCCCTGCCTAGCAGGTGGCTCAGTATCTCGTCTACTTGATCTGTGTCAGAGCAATCCGCTTTGCGGAGATACAATTCCATCAACTCAATCCATTCCTGAACCGTATATTTGTCTGTGCCATCTCCTCTAAACATTGGGGGCTCTTTGACATCTGGCTTGACCATCAGGGTGACATTAGTGAGATTGCGGCTAGCGATAGAGGGTTCTGGCGCAACAGCACCTAATGGGACTGAACTGGAGGGTGTGACAGGGCTTTGGCTAGCTAACAGCCGTGTGACGATGGACTCCCCTATTTGACTGCCTAATTCACCGATAAGATCACGTAACTGCTCTGCAACGTTATCATTAGCATCACTAGGAGTAGAGGCAGTCGGCCCAACAGGATGTTCAGGTACGGTATCAGATGATTGGGGACTGTAGACTAATACTCTTGGTTTACCAATGACAGGTTCGTCCACCCTCAACAACCCTCTACCCCTCCCAAGATATGGAGTTATCATGTCATAGTCTTTCCTTACACCAGCCATAGTATCAATTTACAACAATGACAGAAAAAAAAAACTGGTCCAATGAATGTCCAATAAGTAAGAGGAGGAAAAACAACAGTTCGATAAGTCAGTCCACAAGAGCAAAAGTTTTTTTTTCTTTTTACAGTTACCAGTTCAATGGCGAAATCGATTCCACAGCTTCCGCATGAAGCATCCAGGCATCACAAACTCGTTGCACCACTCCGGCGATCAGCTGCGGCCAATCCAGTTGCTTGAATATGTTTTACAGTTTAAAATCTTGTGAAATATAATACTTAACATTAAACTTCGTTATAGCTATTTAATAAATATATGTGCTGCTTCTTGGACTACTAAAAGTGTTCCTGCAACGGGAGGTGATATTTTTTTTCCAGGATGGAGAAGGGCTCTCCTCCGATTGGTTATTTGATTTGGCTGTGAAACGTCATCTCACGTTCTTGGCAGGCTGTCTGCTAGTCTGTTTTCACCCTACTCCTAAACCTACCCAACACACACACCCACACACACACACACACACACACACTCACGCCTCATCTTGATCTGTTGAATGATCTCCAGCAGCTCCATCTCTGTCGGCATGTAACCCATCGTCCTCATGCACTCGGCCAGATCCTTATAGTTCAGGTATCCGTCCTGATCGTAGTCGAACTCCTTAAAGGCCTCGGACAACTCTGGAAAACCAGCACTCGTGTCACACACACACACACACGCTGTGTGTGTTCAAACCTGAGATATGATGCTCTGATACTCACCATCGAGCTCCGGCTGAGATAACTCTCTCTCCTGACAGAAAACACACAGAGACAGAGAGAGATTCATGTCAGTTCATCTCCAGCACTTCATACATCGAACATAAAGCTTGCATTTACGGTTGGGTTTTTGTTTCTTGATCATCAAATCATCATATTAGAGCGATTTCTGAAGGATCATGTGACAATGAAGTGGGGCTGTCAATCTTTCTCTATAATACTATTAAAATTACATTCCTTATTTTATTTAAAATTCGAATAATATTCAAATTACTCACATACTCACACACTCATATACTCACACTCACATACTCACACTCTCACATCACACTTACATACTCACACACTCACACTCACATACTCTCACTCACACATACTCACACTCACATACTCACACTCTCACATCACACTCACACTCACATACTCTCACTCTCACATACTCACACTCACATACTCACACTCACATACTCACACTCTCACATACTCACACTCTCACATACTCACACTCACACATACTCACACTCACATACTCACACTCTCACATACTCACACTCTCACATACTCACACTCACACATACTCACACTCACATACTCACACTCACATACTCACACTCACACATACTCACACTCACATACTCACACTCACATACTCACATACTCACATTCTCACATACTCACACTCTCACATACTCACACTCACATACTCACACTCACACATACTCACACTCACATACTCACACCTCACATACTCACTCTCACATACTCACTCTCACACTCTCACATACTCACTCTCACATACTCACACTCACACATACTCACTCTCACATACTCACACTCACACTCACATACTCACACTCACACATACTCACTCTCACATACTCACACTCACATACTCACACTCACACATACTCACACTCACACTCACACTCTCACATACTCACTCTCACATACTCACACTCACACACTCATATACTCACATACTCACACACTCATATAATCACACACTCATATAATCACACGCTTTTATACGTCATTAAAGATTGCATATTTTTTTTAAAAACACAAAAAACAATATTTGAATAGTATTGATTTTTTAATATTCGAATTATATTAGAATTTCGGAATTGGTTCCAGCAGCTCTACACTGAAGACTGGAGTAATGATGGAGAGATTCAGCTTTGATCACAGGAATAAATCACACTTTACTGTATATCCACACAGAGGACAGCTGGGTAACAACATACTGAGTGTTCTGGTGACGCCTGTGTTTTATTGAGGATCATTAACTGACGTTAAAGTGAAAGTAAACCAGGAGGAAAATCAGGAGCACATTTGATTCTCACTCAGTTTCGTCTACTTTTATGAATTATGTTTGAATGTGTTGAATGGCTCAAATTCATCATAATTAACACTGTGATTTAACGGACGAGTCTTCGGTGTCTCTGGTGAGTTTCTGTTTCCTCATTGAACACGACAGTCTGATTTATAATATCTCGATTATTATTCGTGTGTTTCTGGCAAAATCCCTCAGAGTTTGTTTTATTTGAGTGTCTGTATTTTCTCAGAAATGTTGCCGATTATTATTATCATCGCTTTACTGGTGAATCTCCTCATAGAGACTACAGGTAAGAGCAAACACGGTTGGATTTCATTCAGTTTTAAGGCTTTATAAATGAAATCTACAAATGTTCATATTTGTCGAGTAATTTTTATATGTGAACACTTTCTATTATTATTGCACTATAGATTAAATATTATTCAGACATAGAAGATTACTTACAAAAAGTTCTTTGAGACACAATCTCTCTTATCTCTAAGTCCACAATTTCAATATTCAATATCAGTCCAAAGTGCAAAACTAACCCTGTTTAAACATTCACTGTTTACAATGCTGACATGTATTTCTAAAGTGTGCAAAACTGCACTAGATTTAGAACCACGTGACTCATAAATATAATGAATAATAGGCTATACAGTATATAGGCCTATCAGGTTCGGCAGCATTTTTAGTTTTTTGTAAAAGGCACTTTTATAATTTAATACATCGTCAAATGTATATATGTTTATTTGTCATATTTTTTAATTGAATCAAATATCTGTTGCCAAAAAAAATTGATCAGCATCAACAAAAGCCATCTATACTGCCAACATGGCACTGGAATGGCATGTTTATTTACTTACAGACTGTTTAATGCTGCTCAAGGGTGGCATAAATGTATAGCTACTCAACAATTACATAATGTAATGGGATCACCGTAACTTTAAATTGGCTTAATAAAGTAGGCCTATATAAATGATAAAATTAAACAATAGGATATATTACAGGGCTGCTGATTATTGTCCTTGATATTGGAAAAAAAAAAACCAAGTCTTCACATTGCTCATCTTAGCATTTAAACAAAACCGATATTCAAATTGGGAATAAATTATAGCTACTGAAAGTGAGAAAATAACGTTTCCATCACTGTCAATGAGTTCATCAAACTCCTGTTATAATCAATAATGCTGTCGACACTGCATAAAGATTTTGTTATCGACATGTATCTGCACTTTAGTTGTTCATGATGAGAGGATTCGTGGGACTGCAGATTTCTTCTTCAGCGGTCACTAATGTAAACTCCTCTATTTGGATTAATGTGGAAACTTAAATAGTTTTAATGCTGTAATTAATGCTGAAATTAAAACTGCTTAAAAAAGCTTTGATGCAACGTGAGCAGATATAAACATAATTCCGCAATTGACACTTTTTATTTCAATCGGTTTAGTTTTTGCACCTGTATCTTAAATTTAAGGCATTTACGTGAACATCGATGGCAGTTTTACCGCAAGCCCAAAAATGTCCAACCCTGAAAATAAAACATATCTATAATATTTAACATTCAGTATTTCTCTCTGTGTTTTTCATTAGCATTTAAAGGCGACGTAATAAACTACACATGAATCTTTAATTCAGTCATTCCAATGGGAATCCGCGCGATCGGAAGTTTCGCTCGAGTTTCGCTCATATTCAAGTTGAATCCATTGCGACGACAAACATAAAACAGCTTTAAAAGTGACTTCTGTGTGAGCTGTACTTCATACTTCATATACATTTACAATAGATGATGGACACTTTTTGCTTCCAAATTTTAGCTGAAGTATTGCTAATGCTGCGAGCTACTGTAACTAGTCAAATAAAATGAATACAGTAAAGACATACATTAAAGACTAATGCACAGTGTGTCTGTGTCTCTCAGAGTCGTTCACTGTTGTGGTTCCTCGTGATCAGACAGTGGCTCGTGTCGGGTCCACAGTCACTCTGCCCTGCTGGATCTCTCCTCCTGAGAACGCTGAAGTTCTGGAGATCCGCTGGTACCGTCAGGAGTTCAGCAAACCGGTTCTCCTCTATCAGCATGGGAAGATCATCCAGGAGGAATCGTTCAGGAACCGAAGCTCACTGACTCTGTGGTCGGATCAGTCTGGTGGACTGAAGGATGGAGACGTCTCTCTACGGCTGGAGAAACTCACAGTTCAGGATGAAGGTTCATTTCGCTGTTATATCAGTGGAGAAAGTGTGTATGACAGCGGAGAGGTGGTTCTCAAAGTCATTGGTGAGTTAAAAAGTACCATTCAAGTTTTTATGGATCATTAGAGCCTGTAAATGGGGCATTTTAGAGGAAGGCTCACAGGGGAGGAACGATCAAAAGCAGCACAAATCAGTGGGAAGACAGGGCTCAACAAACACACTCTCTTTCCCTTCTTGATAGAAGTGAGCTCAGTCAGTGCTGTCTTCAGAGAAAGGATCTTTAGGGGCTAAAAAAGCTGTGAGTAAAGCGGAGAGGTCCCAAGACACGGTCGAGGAAGATTTAGGCTGCGTCTCATTTCTTCAGATGGCACCCAAGCGTGCAAAGAGAGAGCCCAGGCAATTAATAACGACGGCATCTTCGTTTGTTTACCGGTAACGTTATGTCGATCCTGTTGATGCCGTTGCCAGCTATAGCGGCAAGGGAAGACGACACAAACGGTAATCGAGTGGTTAATCTAACCCTTTTAGGGAAACAGTTCTTTTAAATGTTGAACTGCACTTAACTGTGCACGTTTGCTCTTTCTACGAAACACACCGCTAAATGCGGCATCCCTCCAACACAGAGCATATCCTCTGATGAATGAAGGCAGAAAGCAAGCGCTCGGCTCTGTATACCCATATGTCCGGGTCAGTGGCTTGCCAAATCTCACTCAGCGATGTCCATTGGCTCTTGTTACCCTTCGGAGGTGATTGATCCCATATTGCAGCCTTTTCTATGTAATGTTGAATGTGACTGAGGGAACTTTGTCCAACGTTAAGCCTGGTGGGAAAACATGTGAATTGAATGCAAATGGCATTTTATGTTAACTTTCGTTGTTTGTTTGTTTTTAGCATGATTGATTTATATATTTTGCTTCAGAGTTGAGTTTAAATTGATATGCACTTTCTTTCTCAGATTCACCAGATTCACCAGACTCATCAGATCTGTGGAAGGCTCTTTTCTTCACTCTTCTCATTTGTGCTGTTCTGGGTTTGGTTGGGCTGATCCTGTACAAATACACACAGAAAAATACCATCCGTTTTTCAGGGAAGAAACCAGAAGAACAAAGTAAGTTACATTAATAGATTGTACATCTAAACTCAGTCATGGATCAGGCGAACACTTTTAGGCACAGGGTTACTGAGAGATAATGCCTGTTCTTTTCTGAATCTTTTCATTGCAGGAGATGGTTAAATGTGTAAGTTAATGTGGTGTGAAAAGTCTGGAGAAATTATAATTTATAAACAGATTGATAATTAATCCCTCCATTTAAATTTTTTTTTTTCATTTTAGTTTGTGAGGATGGTGGTATGGAGAAACTGACAGAAGAAGGTACTTTAATAAATATTTTACTTTAATATATATTTAACTGCTGAAGGGCTCACTCCAATCATTACATAAACATCTACATGCATGTTGTAGCAGAAGACCATATGAACATGGTTTGATGGACAATGGGCTATATGCACACATAAATTCCGCAAGGATGCTCGTCCATTTCCGGTTGTGGAGATTAAAGCGGAGGAAAACCGAGGAAAACGGGATTATGGCAGAGTCTTCAATATTTACTGTCCTTCAGTCTTTGAAATGAAACGTACATACGTTTAGATGTAATTTTATATATAGTTATATTTATTTAATATAATTTTAAAAAGAAGAATAAACACAACGATGGGTGTCTGTTTTATCTGTTTTTGTGACTAACGTTTCTTTAGTATAACCATGGAGTATAAAATTCAATATAAATTCTCGGTATTGCATTGGACTCTATGATCGGCGGAAGTTATCGAGCCTTCACCGGAAATTTATTAATTTAATCCTTCACCGGAAATACCGCCGTGCATAGAGCCCATAGAATGAACAGAATGATGATCAGGCCTGTCCACATGTGTGTTAATAAAAATCAACTCGATTTACAAATCATTGTCATTTTGTTTCTTACAGTCTAACGGTCACACGAATTTGCGTACTTTCCATATGTAGAGTTCTGATGCAAAAGCCTCTAAATGCCATTTGAAATTTTCTTCTTTAATAATGATTTTTATCAAACTTGTATATTTAAGTTCAGTAATTTCACTTAAATAACAATCAATAGGTAATTATCATTGCCATTTAAGTGAAATTACTGAACTTAAATATTCAAGTTTGATAAAAATGATCATTCTAGAAGAAAATTTCAAATGGCACTTAGAGGCTTTTGCATCTGAACTCTTCATCTGTTCATTAGACTTTTCTCTGTTACGAATCGATAACTCTAGATGTCCTCAAACACAAACTGGAGTTATTGTTTTTTCAAAACATCAAATTGCTTGTTTCTCCTTTTAGCTGTTGGAGAGATAAATATAGAAGAACTGAGGAAACATGCAGGTATGACAATCTCATTTACTTACATTTCATATTCATATACTGTATGTAAATATGATCTCACTCAGAGAATTAATCATTGTTCCTTTGTTTTTTCCTCACAGTTAAGATCACTATTGACCAACATTATGTGTCTCCGAATTTGATCGTTTCTAAGGACCGTAAAATAGTGAGGGAACGTAAAGAATATAAACACACTGGAGAGGGATTTCCATATGAATTATATGCATTTGGAGCCCAAAAATTTACATCTGGACGTCACTATTGGGAGCTAGAGTTGGCACGAGCGAATACACATCCTAAAAACTACTGGTTAATTGGTGTGGCGAAACATGAAAATTTTCGTGAAAAAGACAAATCTTTTACTCCATCAAGCGGGTACTGGTTCTTGTGTTCAGACGGTCCTAATGGCTTTTACACCAGCTCTGATCCATCAGTTTCTCTCTCACTGACGCCGAGACCCGAACGACTGGGAGTTCTGTTAGATTATGGTAAAGGTCAGCTGTCATTTTACAATGTCAAAGAGAGGAAACATGTGCTGACCATGAACACCAGATTCCCTGGATCAGTCACTCCGCTGTTTAATCCAGGGGTCGAAGATCAGAGTTCACTTATGATTCTGGATTGTCCAAAACCTGTAGAAACACCTGTAGAGTCCAGTGAACCTTTACTGGGGAACACAGAGTCTACACCAGATGCAAAAGCCAAAACCAAATAGAAACCATTATGATCAGCGATGCTGTTATCCCCTTCCTCTGCTTTGGGTTGTATTTATAGATATGTATCTATTGTTTTAATCTCCCTTCCTCAACTACTTCACCTGGATTAATCTAGAGGAGGAGAGCAGCGTAGCGCCCCCAGAGGACGGTAGTGGTACTGCAATCTGCTATAGTTCACAGTAACAGGACTATGTACTGCCTCACTGTCCACACGGGATGCTGGACACACACACACAAACACACACACACACACACTAGGGCTGCGCGATTAATCGCACGATATTGTTATGCGCATCTAATTACCCACTGAGCAAAGTGATGTCCAAAAGACGTCTTTTCAACGTCTTTGTCACAAAAGTCGGACGTTGAAAAGACGTCCACTGAGGGGCCGGAATTAAAGTTTTTATGACGTCTTTTTTTGACGTGTTCTGGACATCTGAAAAAGACGTCAATGGATCCTTTTGTACAAGGTTAAAAACTAGTTCAAATGTGGCCATTTTCAACATTATTTATGGTCTCATTTAGACAATTTATACTGTTTCTGGACCAAATAAACACTCAGGATGCATTAAATTAAAACTCATGTTTATTTCAATGTAATTTCCTTACGTTGTTTAGATGGTGATATTTGTTTCATTTTAAGTCACCATTGTGGTGATCAGTGTTTGCTTTAGTTGGGCTCTTGGTCCCGATAATTCATTCTTTAGCTTTTCTTTAGCTGTTGTAACTGTGTGTTTGAATAACACCATTGTTGTGACAAAGAAAGCCAAGAAAATTGTCTCTCTCATCAGCTCCTTGATGTTGTTGCTGATGATGAAATCAATATAAAGTGGGCATTTAAGTTGTGTTTAAACTTTTGTGTTTGTATCCAGAGTTTATAACCACCAATCTTGTGGAACTGCATTATTTGGGCCAGTAGCATGAAAGTTGGACAAAAAGCAAATTAGCACCATGTTTTGAGAAAATATACCATATAGTCACACACAGACAACAATATTTTGCATATTATTCACAAATATGGTGACGATAAATAAAAAATAAAAAAGCTTCATGCTGCAATGCATGATGGGTAGCCTTCATAGTACAAAACATCCTTGATTCCCAGGCTTTTTTGTTTTGGTTGTCACCGTCGTTGAGAATCATATCTAAAATCTTGATATCTGTGTGTGACTATGTGATTCACTTTCTTAAAATATATTGTATGCAGTGGTCATTATAAAGTTACTGGTGTAAATAATACAGTTCCACAAGATGAATACTTGGCTTTCTCTGCACAGTCAATAGTGTTATACTAACACACAATTTCTACAGCCAAAGAAAAGCTTAAATAAGGCGATGTGGGACCAAGAGCCCAACTAAAGCAAACACTGATCACCACAATGGTAACTTCAAATGAAACCAATATCACCATCTAAACCACATCTAAACAATGTAAATAAACATGAGTTTTAATTTAATGCATCCTGAGTGTGTTTATTTGGTCAAGAAACAGTATAAATTGTCTAAATGAGACCATAAATAATGTTGAAAATGGCCACATTTTAACTAGTTTTTAACCTTGTACGAAGGATCCATTGATGTCTTTTTCAGATGTCCAGAACACGTCAAAAAAAGACGTCATAAAAACTTTCATTCCGGCCCCTCAGTGGACGTCTTTTCAACGTCCGACTTGTGCAACAAAGACTTTGAAAAGACGTCTTTTGGACATCACTTTGCTCAGTGGGTAGTAAAGCCGGTTCCTTGATTAGTAGTAAATCACCTTCACCTGCTTTCAGATGGAGTGGCATTCACTACAAAGAGCCGTAGATCACTGACAAGCTGAGCCATATCGCGTTAATATCGAGGATGATATTATATTCACAGTGAAGCTGTTTTAACATGATTGGCAGTTGTGATTGGGACATTAGGTTGTAGGGCTTAGGTTGACACACTATGGACTTTCTAAACAGTGTCCCAACAGTTTGTTATTCTATCTATCTATCCATCTATCTATCTGTCTATCTATCTATCTGTCTATCTATCTATTTCTATCTATGCTAAAGGATTAGTTCATTTAAAAAATAAAAAAAATAAACTTTAGCTGATAATTTACTCACCCCCGTGTCATCCAAGATGTCCATGCCTTTCTTTCTTCAGTCGAAAGGAAATTAAGGTTTTTGATGAAAACATTCCAGGATTTTTCTCCATATAATGGACTTCAATGGGGTCCAAACGGTTCAAGGTCCAAATGAGAGTTTCAGTGCAAACTGTTCAAAGGGCTTTAAATGATTCCAGGTCTTATCTAGTGAAACTATTCCTGTCTGTTTCCCTTGTCTTGTGTGAACTCTAGATATTTCCTGTTTTGCGTCATAATAGTCCTTTGTAGTTTTTCTAGTTTATTGGTATCCCCAGGTGTAATTGACCACGCCCTCTTGTTATCTTGTTTATCTTGTTAGTCTCTGTATTTAAACCCTTTCTTGCTACAATGTTTGTGGGTTCTTGCTGTTTTTGGATGTTGATCTTGTTCTCTGTCTGAGGTTTTGAGTTCTGTCTAATTGAATAAAAGTACTACTGCTGATGCATTTGGATCCTGCTGACTTCTATGTTTCAACCTGCTATGTAACCATCGGCCATTTAAAAAATAAATTAACAAGTTTAAGTTTTATAAGCATTTATATAGCTTAATAAGTCACTATTTTTAAATTTTGGCAATTAAAATGATACATATTTAATCCATATTTTCAATTGTGGAAGATCTTCACACACATTTATTAACAATGAAAAAGATAATGAATCCATCTCAGTCCCTATTAGATGATCAGATTCAACTCTTATACAACAGTAAAGCTCAAAACAGGGTCAAACAAAATGCAAACGCGGATTTCTCTATAAAAATATTCACATGCATTAGATGTCTCTTCCTTGCCATAATTATATAATGTATCATCATCCTGCCCATGCAAAACACACAGCTGTGTATTATATATTAATAAACGCACGCTGTTGTTATCTTTTGTCTTTATCATCGAGCCATATTCACCTTCAATATCACACACTGCTTTTCCCTCTTGATTTATATAAAATCCCTGAAATCTGTGTGGATTTTCCATTATATATTTAATCGCCTCGTAAAAACAGAAAACGGACTCTAAACCACATTTATGAGACCTACTGTGCATATAGCGGTTTTAATCATATGACGATGACGTCTGCTTTTATTGAGGGATCACGTTGTTTAGAAAGGGAAAGTTTTAAGCAGGAGATACAGGAGTAAAATCAGGTGCACCTTCGATAGATTCTGATTTTCGTCTATTTTTTCGTTTATTTTGACTCTATTCTTGTGTTGAACGCGTCTACGGCTCATCTTCAGATTACTGTGATTAAACAGTCTTTTTCTCCGGTGAGTTTCTGTTCCTCGTTGAACACGACAGTCTGATTTATTATGTCTCTCACATGATTCGTGTTTCTGTAAAAAATCCCGTAGTGTTTTATTTGAGTGTCTGTATTTTCGCAGGAATGTTGACTATTATTGTGACGTTACTGGTGAATCTCTACATAGAGACTTCTGGTAAGAACTTGTTTAATTATAATAAACTGTATTTCATGCAACTCCTTTAAGCAGCTTCTCAAGGCACTTTACGCAATAAAAAATACATAATTTTGCACACACTGAGTGTGGTTTTAGGAACCCCAGCAAGAAAAGTGTTATAATAGTCAATGTGTTAAAAAAAAAAAAGTATTGATAAGCTTTTCAGTCACTAAATAAAAATTGGGCAAAGTCCAGCAATATTTCTGAAATTAAAAAATGATTTACAGTATTTGTCTAAAGAGAAAATCAAATCAAAATATAGCTGCGAGCAGCGATGGCGGGCCCAAGCCGGTGGCACCGCAACCCCGGTTCCTTTAGTTACCTAAAGGCACCCGGGTAGCGGTGCCGAAGGCTTTGGCCCTTTTATGATTAAATGTTAAAACGGCTTGCCATACTCTGTCATTTCGACTAGTCACAATTATGTTACAGATGTCTTAAATGATAATACAAACTATCCAAAATGTAATTACGAATAGACAGAAAGACGTTGTTGATATCTACAATGTTAATTCCGGACAGGCAAACTTAGCTTTTAAATGTTAAAAGGGCTTGCCATACAGGGACGTAGGCTCAGAGAGAGGCTCACCATATTCAAACCAAAATATCTGACTTCCTCTTGGTCCGAGCTAATGACTATGTATTAGAAAGTTGTCCGGCTTGAGGAGTACAATGTATATACCGATTTTTGTAACTGTAGATAAAACTAACAACCCCACTTTTGTCAAAAGGTGGCGCTATTTAGTCCTTGCACATTGCCCGTTTCTGAAACTTTGCACGTCTACTGGCTAATAAATGTGATGTATCTGTTGAGTTTCAAGCAATTTCAATTTCAATTTGACTGTTGAAAAGAAGTGCTCCGATTAGATACTCAGGATCGGTATCGGCTCTGACACTGCCATCTTTGACGAGGCTGATTCAAATTCTATATTGTGCATATACTATTCTGTTAGGCACAAAGGCACAAAAACTTTCTAAAGTACCATAAAGTTTTTGTGTACTGTATTATTAGTGTTCTGAAGCTATTATGTGATATAGAAATTAATATTTAAGTCATTAAATTCAAGAACACAAACTTTTCCCTCTCTGCGCCTGTCAGTCATTCTCCATTCAGCATTCAAACAGCACGTCACATTCGGTTACAGTCAATGATGAAACGATCTTCAATGATTCAATGTTAATCCTATTATACTGGATCTTTAAGATAAAGGTCTAAAGGTCTATATTTTCGAATGAAGAAACTTTTTCTTGCTGGACTTTATTGCTGTAACTTAATCGTGTTACTTTCTACCGGGTGTCGGACGCTGTCGGTTAGATCACAACACTAGAGTCAGAGCACTATAATTGTTCTTCACGCACACAGTAACTGAAATTTAAAACCTTTAAAAGAAAAGGCTCAATAAACTATTGCATAGATAGATAATGTATAATACACTGTTCATAAATATGTATTTCCTTTGTGCTTTGAACTTTTCAATACGGACTCAATGCGCTGTAACTTCATGTGGCTTCAAGCACATCATTCTCCGCTCGGGATGCACATAAGTGCTTTGTGCTGCACCGTATTGGAGCCGTAATATCATAATGCAGTGACGTAATGACAGATTATTAATTGCCTTTCAATTATATGTTGCTTTATAGCAGCCATGGCTATATTTTTTTTAATGATTTTTGTTATCTTGTTTTTCATGAATGTATTTTTCAAAAATAAGAGCAATGTGTATTATCT